ATAGAAAGCTTGCGCAGGAAAGGAAGGTCCCGGCGGTTGACGGGGGACTAATCTGGTCTTTATATTGTAAGATCCTGAAAAAGGGAAGATAGTTTTGGAAAGCGGAAGGTTTGCGCTTCCTGATGGTCTGTTTAGTTTTCTTCTACAGCTTTTTGGTTGAAGAGATAATTGCGTCGAGGATCTATCGAGGTCGGATCCGGCCACCTGGAAATCCGCTCCCTCATTCACCATTGCAAGTGTGACTCGTTGGCAACACTCGGAATGTGTCTAGAACAATATCTTTGAACGCAAACAATAAGAATAGGAGCAATCGTCATCATCCGATTTGGTATTGGTATAAGCCATGCATCCCTCCTCCACTCACAGTTGCAGAATCGATTGAAAGGTGTTATATGATGGGGACCTTCGAACGAAACTGTATTGTAGTAGACATAGTGTGTTGTGCTATTCCTGTAACCTAAAAAACAACTTCATTTGCCCAGCGCTTTTTCTTCACGGTTGTCGTTTTTCCGACAGGGTCCCTAACAACAGCGTCATTCTCAGCGAGGTATTAAGGGAGAAGGAGCGAGTGATAGGCGGAGGAGGTGCCTTTGCAGCGCGTGCGCACATGTGGCACTCTTCTTTGCGGGGATGCACTTTCATTCTTTGTACTGCCTTCAAATACGCCCTTCTCATGAAGGTGGAGGAATGGAGCGACTGAACCTGCAAAGAAAATTTAATATCATGTTTTTTTTCGGATGTTTTCATTTTCTGCTGCGCTATACCCTATTACCTATCTGCACCATGATACCACTTCTGTTACTGACCCCCAAGAGTACGACCCCCCATGGACCAGCCCAACAGGTACGACCCCCTGTCCCGCGCGCCCGCTACGCCATCGAGGATTTTCCTCGCCGATAGTTCACCCGCCTCTGTTAGTGGGTTAAGCCTACAGAGCGGGAAGCATCACCAGATGGGACTGCTTGAAATGCGTTACTAAGATTACTCGGAACGCCACAGATCGCAGGTCTCATTTCACTGTTGAAAAGCACTTGCAGAGCGATTGGACAGAAGGTACGATCGCCGATCTTCGACTCTGACTCCTTGCCTTCATGTTCTAAGTGAATGTGGACGACGTTAGAGAAAAGTTCGCTTGTGGATAAGATAGCAAGAAAGGGAAACAGCGAGGATTCCCGTTTGGAATGTGCTCATGCTTTCAAAGTAACGTATTCGCCGAATATTTCCTGTATGAGTTTGAGGCGTCTTTGTAAGGCTATTTGAGCAGCGTGAAGCTCGCTTTGGTGGATCTTCCCCCTAGAGCTACCGTAAGGAGTCGTTGTAGAGCGACTTCCACAGTTTGTTTTCCGACAAGCAACGCCCTCGATCTGAATTTTTGTGCACGGTGAACGTGGAGCCATTCGTGCGTCTGTACCTCGCCCGATGGATGTGCGTAAGAAAAATATGACAGTTCTCCAGTAGCCCCATGCCTCTGAATCAGGTTTCAATGGAATGATTCCTGGCCTTGATTGTAAAGAAGTTCCAGACAAAGCAAGCGAGAGTGGGTGGGATCGAATCAAACCGAGTAGTAAAACGTCCATTATGACGTTCGATAGGAAAATTGGTCACAATTGTTTATAATGGGCTAGCTGTGGTATACAAGCGCTTCAAACGTACACGTTGAATGTACTGGTCCCTATGATTGACCCAGAGCCCATCGTTACCAAGAAGTTTGGAGCGTCTTTTTGTTGTAGGAAATTTCTCAGGCGCGACGTCCAGACTTGCGAATCGCGCGATTGTCGCCGAGGCTCTGCCGGGTGCGTTGCGTCAGGGAATCACTCAATTGGCCTGCCTACCGCAACGCCGACCGCGGACGCTTATGCGATGCGGCCCGGGCCGAGCGAATCGTTAGTAGCGAATCGGCGACGATTCGCAGGTCTGAATCGGCATACGAATGAATGTATCATGTATATATGTGAAAGACAGTGACGTTCGTTCCGGAGAAATATATTTCGGTTATAAAGGATTGAAAATTCTTCAGAAAATCATTACCTAGGTTTTTCGTTATGAGAAATTCATTGATGACAACCTTACTTTTCAAAAATGCACGCCAACTTTGGAATAGTAAAAATTTAGGGTGGACCTATATTTATGAAACGCAGTGTATTTATATAAGTATAATGAATACACTGCAATTACAAAGGTGGACCGAAACATCTCACTAGTTCACTTTCGATATTTGTGCAATTTAGAGAGGACCATCGCTCTATTTTGAAGGACCACCTCGTGCGCCCATTCGACAGTTCGGTCGCGATGAACCGATTCTCACGGTATGATTTTTCACAAATTTACAATAGTAGAAATAGTTAGGTTTAAGTAAAAACATAGGAATTAGAAACTCTTTTTTTTTGGGGTGGGGAGGGGCGGGGGAATAATTGAAAGATTAGTTCGACTTCCGTTTCGCATGTGGCCCTAGACGGAAGCCAAACTGGAAGAAATACCCTCCCTCCGTGCTCTTCAGTAAGGAGAGGGAGGAAAAAGTGTTGAGATGAGACTAATTTTTATGGCTGGCAATAAACCATTAGAAAAACGTAAAAGTGTGATTAACTCTATTGATGATATCATGACTTAAGAGAGATGTTTAACAAGCCTCGTCAAATGACTGATAATTGTCGTAAAACTTGTAGGTAATTGCAAATGTGGAAAAATAACAAGTTTCGAAGCGAATTAGACAGTATATGACATGGAAACTATTTTAAGGGCAAGTGGGCTTTCGTTTATGCTTACGGATGGAACATTTACCTTTTACTTTTTTAACATAGTGTTTTTTTTAATGGTTTTTTTTTATTACTTTTATTTTTTTTTGGTTTTTTTTTTTAATGCGCACAATGGCTCTCGCGTAATTCACATAAAGTTAACATATATAGTTTTACAATATCATATATATAGAAGGTGTAATGAATGCGACTGCCATTACAAAAGTTGTCCGAACATATTGATAGTTTATTTGCAAATCGCTTGTGTAAATTTAGAGAGGACCCGCGCGGGCCGCACCGTTCTATGTTTTCGAAGAACGCAACTTCGTGCGCCCATTCCGACAGTTCGCCCGCGTATGCATCGAATGGTAGCGGTATGGATTTTTCACGGATTTATAAACCCGCTCTTTGAGGAATGTCGAATTAATAGTGGTTGAAGCGCCTGATCACAAAGTGATCAAGCCTTACCATTTCAGGTTTTGTTCTGACTTTTATAGTCGGCATGCTTGCGATCTCTTCGAAGGAGATTATGTCTAAAAGCAAATCCGGAAATCAAAGAAACCAAAAACATTGGAATTCTTGTGATTTCCGTATCCTTTCTCTAGAGCAGGCCGGCTATACTGCCAGCTTCGCCGAACGCGTCATATGTATGTCCTGCAAACTGCAACAACAGTTCATGCTCATATTCCCACTTTTGAATGAAATATAAGACACAAAGGAGCCATCACTTCTTGTGATGTTAAGTAGTCCTCAAAACAAATCTCCTAACTCGCGGAAATTGTTCTCAAATCCCCTCATTGCCTTGCAGCAGTGAACAACACACTCACTGATTTTTTTGCTATTCCAGAGGCAAACACCCGCAGTTGCGAATGATAATGTGGCTCCTCCAGTAAGTTCATTAACCTTCAGCTAAGCTTCGAAATCCATCATTCTCCTCAGGAATATTTTTTCAGAGAGCGCCAGAAGTACGTGGATACGGTCCAGCTCGTTACTACTATCCACCACGTCAATATCTTCCACTAAGAAAATGCTTCTATAACCCAACTGGTAGGATGATTACTGAAAGTAACCGATGAAGTGCAAAAAAGAACGCGGGATACAGGTCTGTAGAAGGACAGCCAAACTGCAGAGTGGGTCGGAGCCGTAGTGGAAGCCCAATGTAAACTCTTTTCTTCTTAAAGGTCCTGTGGTCATTGCGCTTGGCAGCACATGAGTCGGTTTCGTAGGAATTTGTACCACGTAGAAGTAAAAGTTCTTGAGGGCCATTGGTGTAGTGGCAAGTGGCGCTGCTTATCATGCGCACGGTACGGGTATCAAATCCTGGTTCTTGCGCCATCCAGACCAGGAAAGCCTTCCAGTTCGTCGATTGATTAGCACAACACCTGTATGAGAATATAAAAGCTGTGCTCGCACACTGGCTTGCCCAGATAGTCTTAGCGCAGGTCAACTGGCATCCCTAATGTCACTACGTTCTCAATGAAAGTGCGTGGCTGAACAAGCTTAATCTCACGGGGCGGGAGGGGGGGTGGAGAAGTTGCTCAGCCTTATGCTCATACAAACTAAAAGTTGAAACGTATGATATTCCAGAGATGGGAAACTCCCCTCTTTGCTTTTCAACTCATTTCATACCACCACTCATGAGGAATTGTTTTCTCTCATTGTGGAATGAAAAAGAACGCAGTGCTGAAATCACAAGAATGCTGAGATATAAAGAAAACTTTCGCCCAAGCGGCACTCGAACACGCTACCTTTGCTTAGGGAGATGTCAGACTTTGCGAATCCGATAAGCGTTGCACCAGCGGAAAGAACGATGTACCAGCGGATCGAACGATTTACCAGCGCAATCGAACGATGTACCAGCGACTCGACACTGTTTGAAAGTGGCGGGACCCAACGTTTAAAGGAAGTCCACTTCAAAGGACCACACTGTTTGAAAGTGGCGGGACTTCCTTTAAACGTTGGGTCCCGCCACTTTCAAACAGTGTTGAGTCGCTGGTACATAGTTCGACTCGCTGGTGCAAGTTCGATTCGCTGGCGCAACGCTCGGATCCAGCGATTCGCTAGCGAATCGCTCGATTCGCAAACTATGACATCGGCCTTAGCGAGCAAGTGCGCTACAAATTACGCTCCAGGGCACCGTTTCGCCCTAATTTAGCTCTTCATGGTAACAAAACAAAAACAAACAAAACAAACGAACCAAGTGTTGGCATCATCGTTCGTTCGTTCGTTTCAGGATATGTCTGCTGTAATGAAATTCTGAACGATCTCATGGTTGAGACATTCGCGGAGTTGGAAGCTCGACCTAAATTTCATTCGTGCAACATCCAAGCTGTTGCTAACATAATGCAGGTATGTTTCCATCCCCGATGAAACACGCAGGAATGAAAATACAAAAAATGGATATAATAGAATAATAGAGATAGGAAGATAATAGAATAATAGCATTAAAATAGCAGAAGAATATAAGGAGGAAGTTAACTGTCTACAGATACGACGAGAAAAACATGATATTCAAGATTTTTGTAGTTTCTCATAGTTCTTTAATCTCCTTGACTTTTCACAGCTTCACCCAGTTGTTTCTGAATTTTAGCTACCCTGCTAGAGTGTATATTTTGAGAAAGTCATCAACACGTTTTGGCACACACATCGCGCGTTTTGGCATTTTGCACCGCGTGAGACAGGAGCGATTTTGCGAGCGCGGCGTCCTCACCTTAGTTCCGCATATTTTTTGTGTAAATTCACAACACTTGAATCTTCATAACAATTATCTCTCGGCAAATCTAAACTAAAGGGTCAGCTACATAAATGGCAGTGGTTTTTGTCAGGAAGAACGACGTACCGGGGAGCAAAAAATATTCGTTTCGAGCTTGCGGACATGAAATTTAGACCATTCATACGATCTCTTCCGTCATTACAAATTTTTTGAGACTCACAGAAGTGTTGGCATTATTGCTCGCCGACAGTGAAAAAATCACTATGGAAAGAGTTGATATGAGCTTTGTTTGCTGTTACAGAAAAATCCTCGCAATCAAGGATATGTTAACCACTTGTGGCTGCCTAGATGTTATATTAGTTATGCTAATGTAGTATTATATAGGAATACAAAAACTTGAGAAGCGCGAGACGAATAAAATGAACGACATGTGGTTTGACCCGCATACGTCATGCTGTCGTCACGTGTTTAATTTTTGCTACGCGCACATTTCCTGCTTCATAAATACTATAGATGAGGCGAGCGAGCCGTTCATTTGAAAACACCATGTTACCTTCTCCTTCCTTAGACGTGGAAATCGTTTTCTGTTTTTTTTTTGGTTTTCAATTTCTTTATTTGTTCTTTAATTTTTAAATTTTTGCTTTCTTCTTTTTACTACTTATTTTATATTTTTATATTTTGCTACTTTGTTCACACCATATTTGTTGTACTTATCCTCTGTTTCTGCTTCCACGTCTACATCTTCACTGAGAGGCTTCTTAATCTTAATGATTGCAGTGGTTCGACCAATTATGGTTTAGTGGTTCAGTGTTCATTCATGCCTGCCAGCTACGTGTATCATAATTAATATAGCAATGCATAATAAAATAGGGGCGGAAGTGGTGCAGTGACAAGTGGCGCGCTCACCACGCGAGCGGTCCGGGATCAAATCCTGGGTCGTGAGTCGCCCGGGCCAACCAAGCCTTCCATCCCTCCGGGGTCGGTTAATTGGTACCAGACTTGTCTGGGAGGATAAAAACACTGACTTGAACATCGGCTGGCCCCCGCAAGTCATTGTATAGGCCACATCGCATTCAAATGCCACTGCGAATGTACAAATGGAAGTAGAATGCGTGCCGCATCCCAAAAAGGGATTGATCAACGGCAAATGCTTTATCCTTTATCCTTTATAATAAATAATAAATAATAAAATGAAATCGCTTTAACAAACAGATGTAAATAGAACGAAGTTAAGAATATACTCTGTCTTAACTTCTCAACCCTTCCGCTTCGCTCAAGGGAAAAGGTATGAGAACACCAAGGCAATATGTGGAAAAACGTACACTTTGGATGTGCTGCTTAGAAGGTCTATCCATCATAAGAAATAGCAGTCACCCATTTGCTTTCAAGAATTTAATCATAAGGATTCCATAATAAACCATACCCAATTCTGTTTAGGTACGTACCGAGAGAAGTTCAATAGAACATTCGAGACGATTGTCGCTTAATGAAGACTCTTTGCCGCGAGAAGTAATCATGTTCAGCAGCGATTGAATCTGGCAAGGTTGAACTCGGTGGACGGTTATGGACTTTTTCATCTTTAGGATGTCATAAGTAGTCAATCATGAAGGTACACGATAGTTTTTTACTGGGAAAAGCTTTCTATCAGAGCAGAACTCCACAGAAATTCTCCTCGCGAAATACTTGTGGCATTAATTTTTCATTTTATAATATTGTGTTATTTTGAATCTAATTGAATACGTCGAAAAACCTTTTTAGCGTTTCCTCATCCTATTTTCTCCACACAATATTAGTGGAGTCCATGACAAGGCAGCGTACATGGAACTGTTCGCTGTTGCTCACGTATGAAATCAACCACTTTGTGATCGTTCACGTGTGGGTCAGGACATAAGGATTACGGTGTCGCAGGCGACGCGGCGCTTCGTGACTTGTGCTTCAAATTTTTGACCAACAAAACTGTAGGCGAAAATGCTAGTCTAAAGTCCAGCTTGTCAGTTAACTAGGTGCGAGCATTGTCGTGCAGCAGGAGTTTTTTGCGCCGGCCGAATCTTTCATACCTAACCAACGCCCACCGGGTCATCCCACGATTAGTTGTAGGGCCAACCATTGAAACACGATGAAATTCGGAAGCATCTGGTCCGGAACTCTCTGGCTACGTAGCTATCCAATGGTAGGTTGCTATTAACTTATTCCCGCTAGTACCGCTGTGCACAAAATAGTGGACTAAAAATTCGATCAAAAGCCCTCTTTCAGAATTTCCAAAGTTGGGCTCTATACAGGTGGGAGGCGGGCAGGCCCAGCTTTTTCACGCATGTCAAGTGCCTGCCCTAACCCCCTCCCACCCCCCTAGGTTGGCTACGCTCCCCCTGGCTCAAAAATTCCCCGATTCTCGCGGCGCAGATATAGTAGCGTTACATACCTTTCTGTTCGAGAAATGCGGCGTGACCGTGCCACCCTACTTGTATCGCACCAAGGTTTGTTCGCAAATAGGATGAGGGAACTTCATACGACCCTGACAAAGTAACGAAGGAAAAAAGCAAGCAGCACTCACAGGTACATGCTCGCCTACGCCAACGCAGGAGGCATTCAAGAGCCGCAACTGCCACCAGTCAACGGGATGCCTCAGGCAGGACCGGTCACTGAAGCTGCTCAACGTCTAGCTCGAGATTATAAAATCGAGATTTGATCTGTTGATCATGACTTAGTGATCGTAGATTGAAACTCTTTTCCAAAATAAACGCTCATTTTAAACACTTGTTTCTGGTGTTACAGTAACACCCGATCAGGCGAATGCACAAGTGGTCCCGACCGCACATAACCATCAAATGGGATTAAAGCTGAACTAAATCACCAAATTCACAAGAATCCTGAGTTGTAAACAAAACTTTGACCCCAGACAAAATTCGGAACCCTACCTCCTACCTATCGAGCAATTGTGCTATCTATGGCCGATGTCAGACTTTGCGAATCGCGCGATTCGCTAGCGTCCGCGGTCGCGTTGCGGTACCAGCCAATTGAGTGATTCACTGGCCGCGACGCGACCGCAGACGCTAGCGAATCGCGCGATTCGCAAAGTCTGACATCGGCCTATATGGCACCTTTTAACCGTGACTCAATTTTTGATGGTATTTACCATGTCTTATCGCCAATCAACACAGGTCCACCGTGATGAAATTGGCAGTGGATTACAAAGCTGAAAGGTCTTGCAGATGTTGAATTTGAACTCACACCCATTAGAAACATCTCGATACATTCCGTGATCGAATAGGAGTGATGGTATATCTTACCATAGCTTTTCGCTCACGAGCTAAAAGTAAGTGTACTAATGGTTTCACAAGTAAAGAAAGGGAGCAAGAAAAGCTGCTACAAACGCTCAAATCCACTTGCATGCTGTTCCTTGAGCGGAGTTGTTCCAAATCTCTCCCAACTCAAAGGCTATCCTAATATGAATAACGTATTCCACCGTATCAATGAGAAAAACCGGCCAGAGAAAGTATCGAGGCGCAAACTTCCCCATACAATCGGTGAAAGTTCTCAGGTAAAGCGAGGGATTACGATAAGATTAAAGTGGGTTCATAGTGGAAGTGGAGATGCTGAATAATGCCCCAGTGGCGAAAAAAGCAAAGAAGCGCAAAATGGGACCCCTTTCTTTGCCCGTTGACCTCCGATAATGGACGAGCTAGCAACCAATTAAGAGGTCGTTTGCACATGTTAAACCATAGCCACCATAACCAGCAAAGGCCATGCCTTGATTGATAACGCATTCCATGAAAAGTTGTAGGAAATGCGCTCGAAAGCAGTTCAGTTCTCCCCTGCT